TAAAGCCTAGGCCTTATTGAGACTTTATCCCTTTTAGGGATAGAACGAAATTGACAAGGGACTAACGGCTTTTTTATTCTTGATTGACAATGCAAAATTGTCTTTTCAATCAAGTCAAGCAACTGAGGGTTTTTTTCGTATTGCTCGTCAATACCATACTATTTCATTCTCGAAAAAAATGTATTACTAAGATTTCATGATTCACTGTCGAACCTATTGTTTCGCGAAAAAGAACCAATTGTATGGTAAATGCTTCAAAAAGTTTTCTAGTTGGACCTGTCTGATAGGTTGGACAATGATTAGCATGCCATAGCTGGTTTCGTCAGAAATAAATATCTAGTTATATTTGGTAAAAAATCAATGAAAACCAATATTTGATCAATTTATACAAATAAGATTGATTAAACAAAGTTGAGCTATTTTATAATATATTTTATATTGTCAAAGTATTATTTTTATTTATAAATCTTATTTATTTATTTATTTATTTATTTAAATTCGATCTAACCAATCTAATCGGCAATCGGATCAGTTTTGATATAAAAAGTAAAACAAATTGCTTGACACCATAAAAGCATAATCTAAATGGACTTCGTACTCTTATTTGTCCGTTTAAAAGACTCCCGGACTTTGAAGCAAGACAAAAAGCTACTGTTCCCAAAGCGAAATTAGCATTAATAGAACATATTTTTCATCAAATCCCACAATAATTGGTTTTTTAATACATCAACCTAAATTCTTAATGAATATAATAGAACCTCCTATCCTTTTAGGGTCTTCCAATATATTCGTTAGATTAAAAGGTGTCTAAAAAGAACATTTACTTTTTATACAAGGAGGTTACAATTATTTTTATCCAATAGATGTCAAATTGGATGGTTTCGTATGAATCACAAACTTTAATAATTTCTTTCGAACTTTGTGTCTAATCAATGACACTCTTACAATCACCGAGTTTGAAATCTCCTAAACAAAAATATTTGTAACCTCCTTGTTCAAAATGTTAAGGGCACGGTTTGTATAGAGCCTAGGTCCTAAACAATCAAATTAGAGCCTACCTTCAAATAATATCGAGAAATGTGGTTTCAATACTAGAAATCTTTGTGATACCGTTAAAATATACTTTCATATTTCTTTATAAATTTTAAAGCTTAAAAAAATAGTGTAGATAGACAGATCTATGAAAACTTGAAAATCTTGAAAATTGATGGTCCAAAAATGATTTACAAAATACACTATTTCCAAAACTTGAAATCCATTTTTTCTCATGTCTATGTATCTTGATGTCTAGATGATCAATTTGAAGATATTTTGGCATTAAAACAACCACTTCTAGTAAAATTTTTGAGGCAAGCTCAAATTTGATTGTTTAGAGCCTATGCTCTATAAAAACTTTTCCCAAATGGTAAATTGTTTCTTTGTTGACAATCCCTTCAAAGGAAGGTTAGTTGTGGATTCCAAGTTCAGACAATCTCTCATAACACCAGTGTTTAAAAATTTGGACTCAGGATCGAGCTACAAAGCCCTCGCCCCCAAGTCTGAATGGAACGAGTCGGAACCGAACATACAATTTTAATAAGAAAATTTAAAGATTATGAAAAATCAAGAGATTTAGGTAATTCTGAGGTTTTTTTCCCATAAATAGCTAGCTCTGTATCCCGAGTCAAATTGGGTGATTCACAACTCGACTAGCGATTATTAAATCTGTATTGTACAAATATTATGGGCATAACCTAAAGTAGAGGGGAAAAGTTTATATAAGTGCAAGGCTCTAAACAATCAAATTAGTGTGCACTTCAAAAATTTCACTAGTAGAGATCGTTTTGATGCCCAAAAATCCTCAAATTGATCATCTCGACCTCAAGATGCATGGATATAAGAAAAAAAAATGAATTTCAAGTTTTGGAAATAATGTATCTTGTAATGTATTTTTGCACTGTCGATTTTCAAAATTTTCAAGTTTTCATAGATCTGCTCGATCTACACTAGTTTTGAAGCTTTAAATTTTATAATTAGAGATAAAAACATATTTTAATGCTATCAAAAAAATTTCAAGTATTGAAACCATATTTCTCGCCACCATTTCAAAGTGTGCAAACCCTACCCAAAGTAGAGAGTTGTAGTAAAAATGAAGAGACATAGTGGATTCTTGTAAGTGCTGCTCTCATTGTCAATCAATTACAAGAATCTCAAGCTTGATCACGGTTCATCTGAAATGCAGCCTTTTTGCCATGAATAAATGCATTATTCCTATTAATGCCAATATTCTCATCATACAATGGTTCTCATTGCAACTAATAAATAGGTGCCCCAGGTTTCGTTTCTATGGTATGGATGCATTCTTCTTTGAGATGCCAAGAGGATCCCTTACCCATGAAGTTTCTTCAAAAGCAGTCATTAGAAGAAGCCACACTATAGAAAGAAGTCCTACAAATTAAGGGCCAAACCTAGAAAGAAGGCCTATGGAATAGATCCTCAATAATAGAAGTTATTCACCACATTGAGATCTATTTCTAAAAATATTTCCAAACCAACGTAGGTATCTCCAAACCTACCCTGAAACCAAAACTCTTGATACTTCTATAAAATTGATACCAACACCTAAAAATTTGTATTTACAAAATTTAGATTAGTACTATCAAGAGCTCAAACTAGTTTAGACCCATCGATCCAACTAGTTGGCTACTGCTGACTGGTGCCTTGGCTAGTTTGGCCCATTGCAAAAATCAAATTTGGTAAAAAACTAATCAAATCTGATAATTTGTCACTTTTGGTAGTTTGGATTGGCCTATTTTGGCTAGTTGATCCGGCTAAATAAAGTTGGACCATTTATTTAAGGGATTGTATACAATGAAACCATTTATGTTTGGTATAAGGTGGTCACAATTACTTATACGTGTCTAATATGAATTCTGATAGGTTACGTGTGTCACAACGTTTGAGAAACTTACTTTAGAACTTTGAGCTTGGTCAATGAAATAAATGCAGCCACCCAATTTCACATCCAATGTCTCAAGATTAATTGTGACCACCTTGTACCAAAGATAAATAGTCTCATTATATACTTTCTCTTTATTTCATAATATGTTTTATATGTTTAAATAATTATTTTTATATTTTCTTTGATCTTATGAAAAACCACTCCCATCTAATTCAACTAAAATTTGGATCATTTTTTTACCGGACCAACTCCAAACTGGTTCAGATGTTATTTAGATCTAAACCCTAGAATGTATCCCTCGAAAGTCTACTATTGTCACCTCCTAGGAGTCACCAGTTTATGTATCTTTCATGTGGCTTTTTGCCCTTGTGGATTCCTTTTGGTGCCCCCTTTATTCTAAAGCATGCACTCAAGATTAGAAATCAAAAGGGATTGGAGGGTCATAAGCTCATGCTTCTCCTTTATGGTTTCAAGGAAAGTAAAAGAGAAGGGGGTCATCAATCAAAGGATGCCACTCTTTTCTCACCTCACTAATGGACTAAAAGTGGCCTCTTAAAAGGATATTTCTTTGCACATGATGTGGGGATTAAAGGAAGCAGCTTCAACTTTTGGAGGTGCACCTAGATGAAACTTTATTGAGGGGCATAATGGCTCATTTTGGAAGTTAGACTTGGATTGAAGTTTCTAGCCCTATTCCATGGAGGGTACTCCAATAAGTGTACTATTTCGTTTTCATCCAGAGGGAGGGAATAGAACTGGGCATCTAACATGTTTAGGGCATCTAACGTGTTTAGGCAATTGATTCAAGATTTGGATCCATGAACTCTCTCTCTCACACACAGACACACTTGCACATGAAGGTGCTTATGTCTGTCTCTCTCACAGACACATTTTCTTCAAGTCTCTCTCTCGTACACAAATGCACATGAAGATGCTTATGTCTCCCTCTCACCCACATGTGCATGAAGCTGCTTATTTTTACATCTCTGAGCACATGGGCAAACAAGATCGGTTTGGATGCCACATTGCGATTTCAACACCCTAACCATCGAACCCATGGTGCCACAGTGATTTCACGACCTTGACCACTGATCCGAAGAACCCGAGTCTCAGAATTAGTAGGAAAATACTTTGTCCGCCATTTTCGGGGCTGGAGGGGCATTAGTTTTGTCAGGCCTAGTGAAGAAGCCCAAGAATTGAAAAATCTGAATTAAGGATTAGGAAAATTGTTTTTATGAGCTTGGTGATTGCAGGCCGTCTATCTTATTTTATTGGTGCTTGTATTTGGCCCATTAAGAAATAAAAATCATATTTTTACCGTTTAAGCTGTTCATCTTGAAGATGCCTAATCTACAAACTTTAGGGACAAATAAATCCCTACAGGGCTCAATCTAACATCAATTTGCTTTCATAAAGCCGTAGTCACTACATTTCTCTCTTCTAAAAAAAAGTTATATCCCATTGAAATATACTTTTTGTACGATTTTCTTCTTCAGGCCAGGCCAGGAGACCGTGTGTGTGTGCAAAGTTTTACGCCTGAACAAGTGCCCCTAAGACCCTCAAAATGGATAGGGCGGATGTTGTTACGGTCTGCCATTAGGAGGAATTATTTTCCAAAAATAGAGGAAAAATATATATATAAAGCGTCAACCTTGTAATATTCAAGTAAGGTGTACCATAAAAAATCTTAATCCTCTGTTGGAAAACTCTCCAATTGATTATCCTGACCTTGAGATGTATAGTTATAAATAAAAAAAATTTATGCATACAGTCTATTATCAACATTTTCAAGTATTTATAGATCCCCCAATCCGTATCATTTGAAAATTTTAGATTTCATAACTAGGGATAAAAATAAATTTTCAAGCCATATTAACATTTCCGATATTTGAAAATCCACCTCAAGAAAAAATTTAGAGGTGCACCTTACTTCGGTAGCCTTATATGATTCCACCATTTTTTAAAGCATAGATAAATATCATTATCTTGTTCTTAGTTACTTGATTTTCCCAAGCAATGGACTCACCATTACAAGATTTGCTATTAACAACATTTGACATTTGATTATGTTCATTATATATTAAGAGACCATACATTTTCACATATATACAAGGTATTATGGGTTTAAGTGGGTCAATTTGCTCGCCACCCGAATAAAATCATCATCATCCAAGCTAGGAAACAACCTTTTATGATAAAAAAAAAAAAGGAAAAAGGAAAGGAGAAGAAATTTCCTTAAGTGGGAAATAAATACATTAAGGAAAATGGGAAGGATGAGAAGCTTTAGCAAAGGAGGCATGGGCCTTGCAGATTGGGCAAGCACACTTATGAAGGAGCCATCGCCTTATGCAGCTTAGATGGTAGCCATGGCCACATTGGAGCCTCCCCATTTCATCTTCACCTTGGAGGTCTTCCTGAACATAAAAGAAAAAAAAGGTACAAGAAAATTATAAAGAAAACGAAGCATGTGTTGTGCGCCATGCGAGTAAATTGTACATTTGCTCCCTTAGGCAAAATACTGAACTAGGAGAAGAGGATTATCATTTTAGAAAATATGAAATTGACATTTTCTTCTTCGACACAGATGTAATTATCCAGAACATGGAGGTTCTAAAATGAAATGGACATTTTCTTCCTGGACATGGATATAATTATCCACAACATGGGTCTTACTGTTCAGTGTTAATTTGTGAATTTTTTCATGTAGTTTTGGATTGCATAAAAGATTTTCTAAGTGTGTTGCTAGGTTGAGTAGTTTACATCTCCAAATTTTAGGATCCAAAAAGTAATTCTAGCTAGGTTCTATTGGTGGGCACAATTGTACAACGTACTCCTGAAGGAGCATATAATCTTGTAAAAAAGGAAACGTACACCCACCAATCCACCGCTGCCTGAAATATTACAATATCCATAAATAATGGAAATTATATTGTAATTGATTTTTTTAGGCTACTCCACATCAGTGGAGTATTCTCTTCACTTGGTACTTATTACTTTTTATTTTTAAATTTTAGGACAAAAAATTTATCAACACAGACAGTTTTTTCATAGTGGGTAGTGGGGAGCATAATAGATAACTTTGAAAGACTAAAATTGTGTCCTAAAGAATTCCTGATATAATCTTCTCTTTTCATGCTGATACAGTATCCATTTTTTTTGTAGTCCATGTAAAGAATCCCTAAAATATGCGTATTATTGTGTGGACAAGTCACAAGTAGATAGAAATTTATCAAAATACCAACTATTTAGCAATTTATACTTTTGGAAGTACTCCAACTCAAGCCCATGTGTTATTTTATGGATGCAGGAGTACACTATCAATTTACTCCTTTGGATGGGACACAAGTTAGGACATCTCAAATTTTGAGGATGCAATCTCTACAACCCACAAATAATCTCAACGAATTGTTTGCTTTTAAAAAAAAATCCTATGTATTAGAAAATAACAATGCCTCAAGATAGAATAAAGACCGTCCAATATTTTAAGGACTAGATCTAAGTGACATGAAACTCAAAATTTAATGTTTTTCTTTTGAAAATACTCAATTAGTGATTCTTATATAGTCCCCAAAAATTTTGACTAAATAATCTTCCTAAATAGATTTTTTGCACGAGGGAGTAGATGCACAGTAAGCTCCAGCGGGAGCATAGCATATGTGCTCATTTTGAAATGGGTGTGGTTTGTATGGAGCCAAAGTTCTTAACAATCAAATTAGAGCTGACTTTCAAATAATGTCAAGAAATGTAGTTTCACTAATAGAAATCTTTGTGATAGCATTAAAATATATTTTCATATGTATTTATAAAATTTACAGCTTCAAAAATAATGTAGATCGACAGATCCATGAAAACTTGAAAATTGACGGCCAAAAAATGCATTGCAAAATGCACTATTTCCAAAACTTGAAATCCAATTTTTTCTCATGTCCATGCATTTTGACGTTGAGATGATCAATTTGAAAATATTTAAGCATCAAAACAACATCTTCTAATGAAAATTTTGAAGTAGGTTCAAATTTTACTGTTTAGAGCCTTGGCTCTATATAAACTTTTCCCTGTTCAAATTGGATCAAAGATATCGATAAAATGTTAGATGCCAATCTTTCATCCATAAATTGATAAATTTCCCTAAAAACGAAATTGGTCATAAAAATGATATTGATAAAATTTTCCATCAAATTTCCCTAAATCGGCTAATCTCTTGGAAAGAAATGTTCACCTGCAATGCCCCACCAACTCATTTATCTTTTTTTTTTTTTTGGGGCAATGACTCCAATATCAATGAGGTCTAGAGAATTTGTTAAGAAAATAGAATTGAATACAAAATCCCAGAAAATAAAAGGGAAGAAAAAAAAAATTTGTGCAATTGAAACGGATCGACTGTACCTGACATATGCAACACATCTCCTTCTTCTCTATGGAGAATGATTTAATCTTTTCCATGAACCCTACAACCTCTTTTCCCTTCACCCTTGGCCTGACATGCTTTATTCGGTTCTCTACCTCTAATAAGACCTGCATCCATGCATAACTCATTGAAGTCAATCAATCAAAGAAAGAAAGAGAGACAGAGAGTTGATGTGCATCTTGTCAAAATTAATGTATCAACATAGCTATTTGCTAACATGCTAAATTGACGTGTCTTTGAATTGTAGACAACCATTTGGATAATCTTCATAATCTCCATAGGGAATGATAAAAATAATGAAAAAGGAAAGAATACTACATATTGTATGTAAAGATGACCAAAAAAATAAAAAGACAAAATCCTACCCACCCTCTAATCTGTATGTTATAGCATGTGTGGGGTGGATCATCTAACTGATAAATCCGTGATGGATGGCTGCATCTGTGAGGTCCAAATAGGAAATCTAGAAAATATTAAAAACTAAAAAATAAAATAAGGTGTCATGGGGTGGGGATTTATTGGGAACTAAGAAAACATCATATAAACTTAATTTTTTTTAAAAAAAAACAAATTAAAAAAGAGTGGTTTTTAAGAAGACCACTGGACGTATATCTTCCTAAAACTTTTTTTGTCCTGGCTAATTCCCCATCCAGATCAGATCTAAATTATCTTGTTTTAAGACACCTATACGCATAATATCATGCCAAAATTATTTTGAGTGACAAGTAACCGTGGCCGTAGTTGAGGGAGAGTGTGAGACTGTACAAGTCCATTGATGGACTAGAGAAGCAGTTGGATAAGTGCAGTACACCCAATATGAATATAGGATTTGAACCATTGGCTTTGGGGAAAGGTTTAGTTATCTTGAATTCGGGCCGGGCTCAACACTAAAGTTTGGACCCCATGCCAGGCCCAAGCCTACACAGTACGCTGCTTAACGTACTCTTGCTTCTTGTTGAGAGGGCAAGATTCCTTTAGAATCACTTTGAGAAAAACCCTTTAAAAACCCTTAGAATCCTACCTTTAAATAAAAATGCCATAATACATAAATAAGGGTGTGGTTTTTTGCAAAGCTGAGGCTAAGACACTCCTTTAAATAGAGTAGGAAGATGTTGTTTCATAATGATAATCTTTGTGAAGGCCTAAAAATTTATTTTTACATCTAATTATAAAATTTAAAGGTTAAAAAATAGTATAGATCGGGCAGATCTATGAACACTCGAAAAACTTGAAAATTGACAATTCAAAAAAATGCATTATAAGATGCACTATTTTCAAGACTTGAAATTCATTTTTTCTCATGTCTTGAGGTCGATATGATCGATTTGAGGATTTTTTAGCATAGAAACAACTTCTTCTAATGAATTTTTGAGGTGCCCCATAATTTGATTGTTTAGGGACTCACCCTTACATAAACTTTTTCTTTACATAAACTTTTTCCCATAAATAATTCATCAGTTAAAAAAATTAAGAAAGGAAGAAACTCAAGTTCCATTACTCCATAGAAACAATAAGGTATCTTTGATGGTCACGAATTTCCCCTATTGCAAGTATTCTAAATAAATAATTCTGAAGAGTTTATTTGAATTTGCCTCTTATAAGTTGGAAAAATAGTCTCATTAAAAAGGAGAGGGAGAGATGATATATACGCCACTCGAGTAGGAAACCCAAGGGAAATTCATAAAAACGTCCTCAAGAAATGAATTATTCAATAGAAAAAGCTTACATAAGGAGTCATCGTTACATTCGAAACGTACATCTCAAATACCGATTGAAAACCGTATAATTGAATAAATGTATGGATATAACCAAAAAGATTTAAAATCCTAGAAAATAATACATCTTATATGTTATTAGATCTTTGATTTTCAAGAATTTGGAGTGCTTATAAATTTCTTCAAACTCCATTATTTTTAGAGTTAAGGATGGAAAGGGTTCTAAATCTCATAATTAAGAATAGAAATAGATTTCTAGCACTGGAACTGTATTTTTTGGCACGTTCTCGAGATGCACCTTACTTCGAGTGTTTAAGAGTAGTGTATTATAAAAACCGCACCCTCAAATTAATATTTCCCTCATTTTTTATTTTAATTTCAATTTTTTTTTCAAATAACCCATAATCAAAACTTTCATAGAACTTTCTCAAAAACTTTTGTTTCAGTTGCTATTTTAAGAGTATTTGACGAATGGGTGAAATTTATATGATGGATTGTTTCTTAAAAGAAAATTTTGTATTAAAAACAAGGGTGTGGTTTGTATAGAGCCAGGCTCTAAACAATCAAAGTAAAACCCACTTCAAATAGTATAGAGAAATGAGAAATGTTGTTTTAATATTAGAAATATTTGTGATTGCTTTAGAATATATGTTATGTTTAATTATAAAATTTAAATCTAAAAAGTATTGTAGATATCTATGAAAACTTGAGGATCTTAAAATTGATGGTCTAAAATTACCTTAGAAGATGCATTATTTCCAACACTTCAAATCCATTTTTTTTCTTATGATCATGCAAAGTGATGTCGAGATGATCAATTTGATGATATTTTAATATCAAAACAACCTCTTTTAGTGAAATTAGTAAGGTGGGCTCTAATTTGATTGTTTAGAGCCTAGACTCTATATAAATTTTTCCAAAAAAAAAAAAAATGGAAAAAACATAATGTTATTGTCATTTACCGTACCTCATCAGCATTGCCGATGGACCGACCCGAAATAGTTGGGATAACAGTGGGATGATGATGATCATCGGTTCCCTTGAGAGGAGCTCGCTCTAACCTTCTTGGGTATCGAAAATGACCCGGCCTCATTGTGGCCGTGGCCGCTGTGACGCCCCCTGAAACTGGCACGTGGCAGTCCACTGATGACATGGAGGTCGTCAGGGGCAACCGGCCAGTACACCAGAGCTCTGGCGTAATTGACGAAATCTTTGGTTTTCCGGCCGAATCACGGCCAAAGAATTCAGGACGCTTTTTCCTCGACTTGTTGACATCCCACCTGGCGGAAGCGCGGATCAATTGAGCCGGGGATGGGTGGATGTACACGTCAGCAGTCGAAGTGCAAACGAGTTGCCGGAGAAGTTGACGATTTGGTGCCGGAATGTGGGTTGCTCTGCCGGGAATGGAGGAGCGGAAAGAGGTATATTTGAGATGGTTTTTTCTTGGATCCATCTGGTTTTCTAATTTAGAGAGAGAAAGAGAGAGAGAGGTGGTGGGAGGTTCTATGTCCTCTTGCTACTCCCCCAAGAAAAAGAAAGATAGAGAGAGAGAGAGAGAGAGCTACTCCCCAAGAATAACAAGGGGGGAGAGAGCAACTCCGAGCACAACGAGGAGAGAGAGAGCTTCAAGAAACTGAGATATATATAGAGAGAGAGTCCCCAAGAAAAAAATGCAGAGAGAGAGAGAGAGACCCCTGTATTTGAAATCGTATTATTCTATTCTCGAATGCTGAAACCAACTGTTTGCATGAGAAAAATAGAGATTGAGCCCCTTGAGTATGTGAGAATATAAAATAGCTTTTACTAATAAAGAGATCTATGTATGACATATTTCTCCATTATTGTTTGTAACCGACCCTTAACAATAAACAGAGAGTATGCAAACTGTATCTATATTCAACACCCTTCGATGCCCAGAAATTTAAGCCAAAGTAAACTAAAGAGGAGAAGCATTTTACACCTGCATATTCATTCATTATGCAATAAAACTTGCCCAAAAACAGAAAAATAATTGGGAAATTGTTTGGTGTGTCCATGCCCGCACGTGTTACTATGCGGGCTTGGAGATCTACACCGGTAAATAATAGTCTTCCAAAGTAAAAACAAAAGGCAATTGTTTGGTGTTGCCAAGCCCGCACTTCTTACTATGCGCGCTTGAAGATATACACCATGCACCAAAATATATATAGATCTATACCATAAATAACAGTCCTCCAAAGGAAAAATAAAATCAACTATTCAAATATTTTTTCCAAAAAATATCATTTCTACTTTTAAAAATTTATTTGTTTAATAATCTATATATTATATAGTCTCTAAAAATTATGATCAAATTATATTTTAAAAAAAAATATTAAGGGGCCCCATTTCTACGGGTGTGTATGTGGACTCATAGAAACAATGTCCAAAAGTAAAATTAACTGTTCAAATATTTTCTCCAACAAAAAAATCATTATTGGTTTTTTAAAATTTATTTATTTTTACAAATTAATAATCTTCATGTTAAAGATTATATATTTTTAAAAAATTAAGATCAATTTTTATTTTAAAAATAAATTATTAAGTAGCCTACATTTCTACGTGTGAGTATATGGACTCATAAAAACCGTGTCCAAAATAATTGTACAGAACTAAACAAATCACTTTGGAAAATTGTTTCATGCAACGATCAATCAGGCTGCATTCCAAAGCATCCATCTTAAAAAGGGATGCAAATAAGTGGTCCATCTAAAAACAATTGAAACTAAGAGTTTAAATGTTTTTTTTATAAAATTATTATTTTTAATTTTTAATTTTTAATTTTTTTTTTTTAAGTTCGTGATCTTCATGTTAGGGATCTCATGCCCTCAAAAATTAAGTCCAAAAATCCATCTTAAAAATAGATTTTTAAGCGGTGATTCATTTCAACGTGGACTCATAAAAATAGTGCCCAATCAGTATTTGTCCATGAAGTGGGAAAATAATGGTATTGAACTGAACAAATCACTTTTTGTCTTAGACGCAGCAGAGTCCTTAACCTCAAAGATAAAGTCAAGAAACAATAAAATATACACTGCTTTGTTTGTATAGAAAAAGTCATGAAACTGTAAAAGTGCTGTACTACACTGTTTGCATAATCGTGTCAGAACAATCACGTGCTACATTTTATAGGGCGGGGTAACGACGCGTCCCTTTTCGATAATCCACCACTCATTTTCAATAATGATACCTAATGTGTGGGTGGCATTACAGAAATAAGGGTGGCCCTATCGTACAGCCGGGGACGTAGACTATGTGATGAAAAGGTTTGGTACGATTTGCAGATAGACTTTTATGGCCTTGATGTGATGTGATGTGATGTTAGGGTCCGAGATATTTTGGCGAACTTTTGTGCGGCCCAATTTTTGCGGGGCGGGCCGGGGCAACTATTTTAAGGTGTGGATCGATGATGGGGCGCATCGTCTTTAGCCCAGCCCCTATCGTATTGGGTTGCTGCGGGATTGTCAATTTGTCCAAATTGGTAATTTTTAAAAAAGGGTTTAGTGTGTGTGGTTGATTTTTGTGACTAAACAATTAAAGTAAAGCATAGTATCCATAAATGTGCTTTCAATCCTGAAAATCTTTGTGATAGCTTTAAAATATATTTTTATTTTTAATTATAAAATTTAAAGCTTTAACAATAGTATAGATGAAAACTTGTAAATTTTGAAAAATCGACGGTCCAAAAATACATTACAAGATGCACTATTTCCAAAACTTGAAATCCGTTTTTTTTTCTCTTATCCATGCATCTTTAGGTTGAGATGAACGATTTGATAATGAGCATAAAAAAAACTTCTTTTAGTAAAAAATGTTTAGGTGCACCCTAATTTGATTGTTTATATAAGATTTGGTCAAAGTTAAAAATAAAAATGCTACCTATAAAAAAAAAAAACAAAAAAACCATTATTTACTGTAGCATTTTAAAACCGTACGATCTTGATCAAGAATTGGCCAAGACCGAAATAGTTTTGAAAAAGTATCGGTACTGGTCTGGTCCCCCAAAACCCCCACTTTTTTTGTTATTTTTTTCCTTTTCTTCAAACTTATTTTCTCGGATTCCCCTAAATCCCTCGTTTTCTATTTTTTTGAATCTTTAAATATTTTCTATATCGCCAGTTCGAAAGGCACTTGCATCATCCAACACACGGATCTTTGGGGGGGACAATCCATCCATTGTTCTAGTTTTTGAAACACAAATTCAAAGAATAAATCAGGGGCGCGGGTTATCAAACAAGGCGCCCCACCTTAAACAATTAAAGCAATCCACACTTTTAAACCCTAGTAGAGGAAGATCTAGTTCCGGTGCCAAAAAATCTTATGATCACTTGAAAACTAATTTCTACCCTTAATTATGAAATTTCATTACTCAAAAAACAGTTCAAATCAAACACATCTATAGGCACTTGTAAAATGTTATATTTTTTATACTTAAAAGTCTTTTTTTTTTAAGATATATATATTATTCAATCTAATGTCGAGATAATCAATTGAAATATTTTTAAATGTGAGAACAACTTCTTTTTATAAATTTTTGAAATAATCGATTTCGGCCAAAAACCAGTCCGGATAGTCGTATTCCAGTAGAGAATCATCTTTTCTGTTAATATATATATATATATATATAGAAATCATTGGCATGTGATATCATCATTGGTTCTGATGAAGGGGATCCCAACATTGTGAAACCACTTTGATATGGTTCATATATCGTGGTGTAATCAATTTGAGGAAATTTGGACATCAAAACAACCTCTTCTAATGAAATTCTTGAGTTAGGCTCTAATTTGATTGTTTAGAGCCTTGGCTCTATATAAACATTTCCCTTATTTTTATGATCAAGTGGTAAAGTATTGCCAGTTGTATCGAGGAGCACTTACCTACTACTCAGCTGTACTAGGCGTTAAACAATGTGGTCCTACTTCCTAAATTTATTTCGACAAAACTTGATTTCTAAGGGAGCTTCAATGATGATTGGGATGCTAAAAGTAATCTCAACTATTCGATGTAGCGACGGATGATTGAGATGAAGCATTATTCTCTAATGACTTTAAAAGAAAAGAAAATGCCATTGGTTTGTTGTCACCATACCATTTCAATTTGTACATGGAATTTATCAATGGAAAAACTTTATATAATAGAACTATTTTGACATTAGTCCAACGAAAAAAGCTATTTTAACATTAGAAGACTATTTAATTGATCATCTTGACATTGAAATGTGTGGATATAGGAAAAAAGGATTTCAAGTCCTAAAAGTAGTACACATCTTGCAACAACTTATTCAGACAATCCATTTTCAAGATTTGAAAAAATAAGTGGTTAGCATGCGGACAAGTCCGTACATGTAGAAAAGCGGGCTCGGCGGTAAATATATGTTTTAAATATAATTTGATTCTAATTTTTAAAGAATGTATAATCTTTAACATGGAGATCATGAATATGGTTTTTTTTTTTTGAAAACCAAAAATAATAATTCTATTGAGAAAACATTTGGACCGTTGGTTACAATTGTTTTTAGATGGACCACCTATTTGCATCCAGTGGTCTATCTAAAAACAATTGTAACCAACGGTCCAAATGTTTTATCAATAGAATTATTATTTCCGTTATGTAAAAATTATTTATTTTTTCATTTTCATGATCTGTATGTTAGTGATTACATGTCCTTAAAGATTAAGTCCAAAACTCCAACTCAAAAATAGAGTTTTGAGAGGTAACTCATTTCTACATGGACTAATAGAAAGTGTGTCCTTGAGATTTTTATGCTTTTATAGAATTGCATAATTTGGACCATTTTTAAAGTTTAAAATTTTATAATCGTAGATGAAAATAGATTCTTGGGCTCTCCTAAAATTTTTTCAAAATTGCATCTGATGAAAAAGTTTGGAGGTATGCCTTATTTTAATCGTTTAAGGTTGCAAACTTATGGACGCCTTACCCTTTACTAATTGCCTCAAGTTATTGTGCTTTGTTATTTTCATCAAATTATTTGGGGTGTGGTTTGTATAAGGCTAAGGCCCCAAACCCGGGGTGTGGTTTGTATAAGGCTAAGGCCCTAAACCCTAAAAGTACGGTGCACCTTCAAATAGTGTTGAAAGATGTTGTTTAGTACCAAAATCTTTATGATGGCTCGAAAATTCACTTTCATCTTTAATTATAAAATTTAAAGCTTCAAAAGTATCGTAGATCTTGCATATCTATAAATACTTAAAAATCTGAAAATTAAAGTTTAAATAATGCATTACAAAATGTACTATTTCAAAGACTAGAAATCTTTTTTTCTTTTACATTTATGTATCTCAAGGCGAAGATGAGATGATCAGATTTGAGAGTTTTTGGCCTCAAAACTTTTTCTTTTAGTGAATTTTTGATGTGTGTTTTAGGTTGATTGTTTAGGGCCTTAATCTTATATAAACGTTTTCCATTTTTTATTTTTGGCTGATTGACATAAATGACATTTATATTGCTTAAATAGTTTATTATTTACATTGCAAAGTTAATAATTCTTGGAAGTTAATATCAAGGTCCAAGAACTTGACTTGGAAAAGGTACTCGGTCCATTGCTGAGCCGAGTAACTTGGTCAAGTCCTAGTGAAATCCCCCTGAGTCCTATACAAGGTAAAAAAGCTGGAAATTTGGCAAAAAATCATTAAAATATAAAAGAATACAATGAAGGTAGTTAAAAGAACAAAAATAAAAGTGAAAGCAACTTTAGAAAGTCTAAATAAACTTAAATGAGAAAAGTTTATATAGAGCCGAGGCTTTAAAGAATCAAACTACCTCAAAACTTTAACTAGAAGAGGTTGTTTTGATGCCCAAATATCCTCAAATTGATCAGCTCGACATCAGGATGCATGGACATAAGAAAAAACTGGATTTCAAGTTCTGGATTTCAAGTTTTGGCAATAGTATATTTTGTAACACATTTTTGGACCGTCAATTTTCAAGATTTTCAAGTTTTCATTCATCTG